AAAAAAAAAAAACCATGTAAAAGTGCTTCAAATGTAAACAGATCTATTCAATATTTGCATTATTCCTTACAAATTCATAATAATATACTTTGAAATCGTTATAAACCTCAAAATTTCATAGAAATTTGAAAATAAAATGAAAAGCATCCTTAATCCTATTAATATAATAACAAATCTGGTAACATTTTACAAAATACTATAAAAATTAAAATGAAAACAACTGAGATCAGCGTATATCAAGGAAATTACTGAAAATCTGTAAAAACTAAGACATTAACGCAGAAAACACCTTAAATCTTTGAAAATACAAACATAAATTTATTTTTGCAAACAAATTAAATTGAAAATTCGAAAATATTTTAGATCTTCATAGATCTAAGCTGTTATCGCCCTATTTGAACCGAAATACTCTAACTCAATAAATTGAATTTGTAAAATCGGATCGATTTTGTTGTTTCGATCTCTCTTTCACCTAAAAAAAAATCCAGTGTTTTCTCAATATCGATTTGAAAAACGCTAAAGAATCGCCGGTGAAACATATTCTTCAGCTAGATTGTCAGCAAAATTTTTTTAATGGTGGCTGAAGAATAGGTTTTGAAACAAATAGATTTTGGAAGAGAGAGAGAGACAGAAAAGCGCCAACATGAGGCGATAGAAATGGCGATTCATTAGCCATTTTAAGATTTGCTTTCAATTTATATGAATATATGAGTCTTACATGTGTGCGGGGCATGTGGCATTTTGAACACATGCATGAGCGGCTCCATTTTAAAAAACACTCTACCAAAATGATCGCAACACAAGTTTTGAATGGATATAAAATTGGTCTTTTTTTNGAAAATGGGCTCGATTTTTAAGTACAAGCTCAAATTCTGAATGCAAAATTTTTGGGCTGTACTCTACCACTATGTATATACATACTATCAATTAAGTTTCTAGTAATGGCCCAACATTCATTCTTTTTAATTTTTGGCTTGAGTTTTTTTAAATAACTGGCCCAAAAAAATTAAAGCAACATAAAGTAAAAAAAATATATTTAAAAATAAGAAAAACTTTTATCTATTTATAGTAATACAAATTTAATCATTTAAACAAGTATAAGCATTAGACGTATGAGTTTAATACATAATATAGTGATTGTTATATTACAAACTTTCATGTTTTAATATTTGCTCAATACTATTTTGTGACAACTTTTTAAATACAAAGTTTGACATTATCAAAATTATACATGTTGTATCTGAAATTTTTAAAAATAAATTGCAGGGTATAATTTAACTATATCAATTTAATTATTGTATGTGCGTTATTTGATTTGTCTATGGTAACATCTTAGTTCCAAAGACCAACAATCCCTAATAGTCCGTATTCGAGCGATTTTTGTATAAATTCGAGTGATAGTTTTTTTTTTCTTTTTTTTTTTCCGAATTTTGTGGTCTTACATGATTGGTTATTTACTAAGCTCCACAGTCATGTTCTCGAATGTAGAATTTTGACCGTGACAGAGCTGGTGATAAGATTCTTATTCCTATGCTCACAATCATACCATCCGATTTGAGGGTATCTTTCAAGTTTCAGCACAGACAGTTTGTTTCCACTTATGGTTTTCTATGCTATGACAATCACTAAGAGTCAAGGGCAATCTCTGTCGCACGTCGGCCTACTACTGAAGAGTCCTGTATTTAGTTATGGACAATTGTACGTGGAGCTTTCTAGAGTTACGAGTCGGAGGATTTTAAGATAATGATTTGTAGTAATACGAACGTTGTATATAAATAGGTGTATAATAATATTAATTTTCTTTCTTAAATTTTTTTTCCCAATGATTATGTTATGATTTTTACTATTGTGTATAATTTTTATTATATTTTCCTCTATCATATAGCTTTCCGTACAAATGCACGGGTTAAAACTAATTTAAAAATAAAGAAGAATATATATATATATATATATATATATATATATAATATTGGATGACTAGGATTAAGTGACATTTTGATATAAAATTGGGATCGTCCAAATGTTATGCTAACCCTAGCCTCCTCCGACCGTCGCATCCCCCTTCGCCTTCACTCTACACGCGGCACACGGCGAGTCGGCGACTCAGCCTCTCCCCTCCGATTCTCGGACCTCCGCCAACCCCTCCGCCTCCCGCCTCGGTCTCTGGCGTCGGCCTTCAAGAACTGTCTCCAGCCTCCGCCTCCAACCTCTGCGTCCGGGCTCCGCCTCCAGCCTTCGGCCTCCGTCGGCCTCTGCCTCCGAGCAAAAAGAATTGAATTAGAATTGGCGCTGTTAGTAAGGTGCCATTGAAGATATCTATTTCATTAGCAAGATATAAAATTGGGCCTACGCCTGCGAGACCCAATCCAACCCAATTTTTTTGTGTTTTTTTTTTTTAAGATATAGAACTGGGCCGCCCAGGAGTCCAA